AGCATCGTTTTTTTCTTCTTTTTCCTTTTATCTCTTTTCTTTATTCGATTATGTGCACAACACGCAACTGTATCTAGAGCAAATACTACGACGACGCTTCTCCTCCTCCTCCTCTATCTCCTCTTACGCCTCTTCCTCCTCCCTCTCCTCCTCCTCCTCCTCCTCCTCCTCTTCCTCTTCCTCCTCCTCCTCCTCCTTTCGAGCATCCTGAATTATTCACCAGATGCTATTCAATACGTAAGAAATGTTTATACGAACGAAACACACACGTTCCCTCCCCCCTCCCTACCCTCCCCCGCAACCCCCTATTGATCGCGACGCGAAGTATTTGTACAATATTGTTGACTGTCTGTGTGGCGGAGTTGGGTGTCACGATAGTCACGGCTTCGGCGACGCGGCGGATCCCGATCTCTCGTTCGGCGCGAGTAATCGTGCAGCAACTAATATCGAGCGCGCTACATTAATTACTATCGCGAGGCGGCTAATTGGACACAACGATAAGGACAACGACGATAAGGAGACGCTGACGACATCTCTGTGTCTCTCTCTCTCTCTCTCTCTCTCTCTCTCTCTCTCTCTCGTCTCATACATGAGACCGATCTCGCGAAGCGCTCCGTGAGAAAAAATCGTCCTTTTTCACATCGTGATGACCGGCAATTCTCAGCCTGCCACTCGTGAAACCTCGTTTTCGCCGAGGTCGACGCGGTCGAGAGTAGAAATCGGCCTGACGATCGTGAGTCTCCTCCTTCAGCGTGAGCTCGTGGAAAATGAATATTCCTAAATCCCAGGCAGAGCCGAAAATCACGATGACATGAGAATGACGAGAAAATAATCGGATCATGATGAAAAAACGAATTTTCCTCATCATTTTGACGTCATTTTGGTATCATCATGATTTTCTGTTCTGCCTGGGATTGGACAATCAAGTTGGAAAATGCCCGCTTCCGGCGAGTTCACGTTGGAGGAGATTCATCGGCTCCCCGATGTGAACTCGTGAACGAGTGAACGATTTCCAAACACTTTGGGCAGTTTTCGCTTGTCACGAGTTCCTCGCCGAAGCAGAAGGTTCAGGATCGACCTCTGACTTCGTCCGAGGACGAGCGGACGAAGGGGACGAAGATACAGAAGCAGGGACCGTGACTACGAAGGTCTCTCCGCTGACGGGAAGCACTGAAGCGCGGTCTTGACTTTGTAGGCGCGAAGACGCGCCTTCGATGCGTCGGGCTAACGATCGTGTCACTTCTTCTCGGTGAACTCCACCCTGACTGGAGTCGATCATGAACCCTTTTCCTCTAGCGTGACCTCGTGAGCAGCGAGAGCTTCTTCCGGCTTGGGAACGTTCGGAAGGACTCATCTTCACGAGTTCGCGCTACATGGAGAAGAGCATCGTGGAGGGAGATTATCGCGTGAAATTACGTTTCTTCTTGCGTTTCCTTTTTCTTTTGCAAAGCTGGACTGCACCGATTTCGTAGCATAAGCGTGTATTATACAGGTAGAATAAGCGACGTAAAACGGAACATTCGGGCAACTACAATAACTCGCAGTAAAACGTCAAACGTGCGCGTGCGACATTTCTCGAAGAAATAATTTCTAGTAATTTCAGTCATAATTTCTGTTTGGTCCAAGATTGCGAAAATTCGTTCTCGCGAGAATTTTTCTCTCCGCAATACTTTCTCCATGTGAGGGAAAAGATTCACGTCGCCTCTGGCCACGGAACTCTTGCTGTTTCGCGCGTTTTATACAAATCGGTATATCGTTTATTTCGCGCTGTAGCCTAATTAGATATTAGTTCGTTAGGAAAAGATAGGTTAGATATACTCTCAGATCAGGCCACGTGGCCTGAGAACAATAGCCGCGCTCGTCCCGTCTTGGGTGGAGTTCAGCGCTCTTTCTTAAGAGCGGAAACGTAAAACTAAAGCTTTACGTGTGAACTCGACGATTCAACGACGATGCAACCCTTCGAAGTAGAAGAAATGTGCGATACACCTCGCACATTCTTTCGCGTATTCGCAGGAAAGAATACACGATCGCCAGCCTCGCAGCTGGTCGGTGACGCACGATATTAAGCCGCTCCTGATCGAGATACCGGTAATTGAGAGTGGCAGTGCTATATATTTCCGACGTTTGTTTTCCTTCGCACTGAGCCTACATGACGAGCCTACGCTCCTCGAGAGCTCATTCTATTATCTACGAGTCTATCTAGTCGCTCTAGATTCGCGAGCGCGCTTGGCACTATCTCGACACTAGCGAGAAGGACGTGAATAAACGCGTCATCGGGATCATCGACGCTAGAAAGCGGTTCGCACTGCCGTCGCCGCGCTCGAGTTTATGGGCCACGTATTGTCCCGCAAACAATGTACCGAGGTTGAAGGAAAACAACGGGACGATTTCCTGAAATCGTAACACCGAAATACGAAATTTCTGCGATTTTGCCGAGATCTGTTTCTTCGTTTGAATTGTTCCTTCGTTTGAATTGTTTCTTGTTACGAATAAATGAATTTCGGCAAGATTTCGGGACGTTGCCTCCGCAGTACATTCGAGTTTCGATGTCGCGACTTTTCGCGGGAAATCGAGCCAGATTTCGAATTTCGAGGTGCCGATTTTTCAGGATAATGCATGTCCGCCGGGTTCTCGCTCACGTTTTCTTCAGCGTTTTCTCGAGAGCGAGGCGAACCTTCCGGATGAGAGACGCGATCGCACAAATCCGCTCATTCTCGTTGGCTCATTCGCGCTTCGAGGAGCGGCTGATGGAACACGCGACGCCGAACGGATTCGACGCGTCGAAGCGGCGCGCGATTCTGCAAAACTCGCGGATTTTCGCAACGCGGTCGAATTCCGCACAATCGACGTCGTTCACGCCGACACTTTGCTTGCTTCGGACGTTCTACGAGGCGGCTTTGCGAAGCAAACTTTTTCTGTCTTTAACGTCGCTCGAGTAGCCCCTCCTCTCTTCCTCCTCCTCCTCCTCCTCTTCTTTTTCCTCTTCTCCTGCTGCTTTCTTTCTACATACTGCGCACACTATTACGCGTAGTGTGTTGACGAAGAGATTACGGAATTACAGACAGTAGACAATATCGTAGACGATTTACAGACAGTAGACATTATGCAGAACATCTCTCGGCATGCGGAAAATGTTTCACATAGACTTCGACGAGGCACTGTTCAGAGTTCATCATACTAAAAACAATAACAAGTATTTATATTTATCGTAATACACTTCGCGCGGCGTCTCTCTCTCTCTCTCTCTCTCTCTCTCTCTCTCTTTCGCTCTCTCTCTCTCTCTCTCTCTCTCGCTCTCTCTCTCTCTCTCTCTCTCGCTCTCTCGCGCGCGTATTATAGCGTTTAATTACATAGTGAAAATAAATCTTTCTTTTCTTACCGTCTTATATGTCGTAGTATTATTTAATCTTTATCATTCACTTAGGCTACCAGATATTCAATATAAGCAATGAACTCTCTCTTTCTCCCCCTAATCTCTCCTTGCTTTTCCTTTTCTACGACAGTATGTAATATATGACTTGAGAGAGGAAAAAAAATAAAAATAAATCATAACCAACGTAAAGAAAAGGAAAAAGAAAGCACACTGACGTGTTCACCGCTAACGTTCACGAGCCACCCAGTCATGTCAACTGTCATCGAGAGAACAGTGAGAAACAGTACGTACAACGCGACATATTCATCATCTATTGTCGTTCCACCGGGAAAAAAGAAAACTGTTGATACAACCCATTCGTTTGCGGCAGAAACCCACGAAAGGAATATAGAGATACAGTTTATCAGTTTATCAGTGGTATTTCGTAGGACACGAATCTGGCGTCGCCAGGTGGATAGGTGGCTCAAATCTAAAGGTGATATGTCGGCTGCATGTAATGTGTGTTTTCTTCTTTATTTGTATCTCAAATTACTTTAATTTAAAAATTACAGAGATCATTTCGTTATTACGGATTGTCAGTAGTGACAAACGAAAAAGTATGTTGCGATCGGTTTATAGCATAAGTCTACGGTAGAGTAAAAAAAAAAAAAAAGAAAGAAAGAAATAGAAGAACCGAAAAAACGAAACGAAGGAAATTAACGAAATCTCAAAAGCATAATATATACGGGACATAGAGAGAAAAGAAGAAAACGTAGGGGGGGAATGGCGCTACGACTCACCAGGAGACGCTAAAGTGCCGCTAAACGAGAATCTAGAGAAATTCGCTCCTACAAAAATTTTGGCGCAACGTTAAGTAAACTTTACTTACATACGGATCTGATCCTACGATCGTTTATATATAAATAGACGATATCGGTATTCGGAATTTGTTTACAAAAATAAAACAACACGGGAGAATTAATTCTCTACCTATAAATGAGAAATAAAATTCACTATCTAATCGCAGCTAGAAAGACACAATGAAAGAAATGATCCGACCGACGATTCCCTTGCGTGTCCAGCATGAGTCCAAGTCCAAACGCGAATTTTGATTCTTGGCCGTTAATATAATGTACATGTATCACTTTATGCAAAAAGATGCTTCTATAGATCAGTGGCGCTTTCAGTATCATCATCATCATCTCTATATAGATCTTAGAGAATCGTATATATCTAAAACCTATACTCGTAGCTGCTGTTATACTTAACTGCTGACTTAGTGATACCTAACCTAACCTAACTCATCCTCGAAGTTATATACGCTTAACTAAAGTACTTTGTGATCTAAATACACATTAACTAAACTTAAAATATATCTCGAGCGTCTCTGGGATTGATCCCTTGAGAACCACGGCCGTCGGTTGTTGGTTCTTGCCACGCGGACGGTCCCGGCATACCGGCCATCATCTGGTGCTGAGGAGGAGGAGGAGGTGCCAATTGATGCGTCACCTCCTCGACAATGCACGATATCGAGATCTTGTCCCAAGCAAACTTGTTGAGATTAGGATTGAGGGCCAGTCCGTGGACGCATACGACGCTCTGTGGATGAGGGTGACAGGGGTGTTGATGTTGCAACACGAGAGTCGTGGTCGTGGGTGGTGGTGGTGGCGGTGGCGGCGGCGGCGGCGGCGGCGGTGGTGGAGGTTGAGGGTGATGAGGAAGGGAGGTGAGCCACGTCGCGGCTGGCTCGATTCTGTGTCATTTGCCGGTCTGTTGTAGCGCCGCGTTAATCTGCGTCCACAATTCTTTATTGCAGGATTGAGATCTGAAAGCAAGACGACGGCTATGAGTTAGCATGCTGGGCAGCATTTCGGACACTTATACAGGGTTGGGAAGTAACGCGCTACTTGTGTTTTTTTTTTTTTTTTTTCACTAACTTGGTAACGTTATATTCAGAAATTCTAACGATTCTCGTTACTTTTTGAACAACAAACACTTTTCTCTTCAATTGGTCACGATTAACGATTGACGCGTTACTCTCCGGAAGTATTAGCTTCCCCCGACCTTGCGCTTGGGCTGCTCACCTTTTAATGGATTGCAGCCATTCCTTGAACTGAGTATTTCCTTCGGGATTGATCTGGAAGGCAGCCCGTGCCGCGCATACAACACTGGCGAATTCTTCGTAATCGCTAGATGTTAAGTGGTAGAGCTTCTGATGCATACACTGAATATACCTGGAATCGAAAACGACGCATAGTGTCATTGGACGCTGACCGGAAACGCGGCAAGGTCTCTGACCGCATGATCTCTCGAGTTCTGTTGTTTTTAGCTGAAATAGCTCTGCATTTTCTGCCCTCCAAGCGAGACAAGTGTGTGATTCAACGGTGTCAAAGGGAAAACAGTCCAGTACAGTTCAGCTAAAAAAAACCGACTTCTCGTGCGATAGAGAACGCTACTAACATCTGTTGGCACTTGTGTACTAGCGGCGCCAATAGGGCAGATCTCAAGTGCTGCAGAATGAGCGCCGGGTTGTTTCTAGCAAGATACTGAGCCGCTTCCAGAGCGACATGGTGAAGAACAAAGGGACTGACGATGCTGTTGACAGCGCAGATACAGAGCTGGTGCATGTACTGTGTGCCGAGGCGTTTCGCAACCCTGAGCAGAAACTTGACGTCCTCCCCGTAGGGCGGATTTCGAGCATACTTTGCCTGAGGTCGGTCATCATGTACTCTACGAGCTAATGTTTCCAAAGCTAACATTCCCACGCGATAGGCGGAGACGAGAGTCCGCAAATGTTGCTGACTGAATTGTTGATTTTGCCTGTGAACCTGCGGCACAATGAAATCAATCAGCATTTTCATCTGTAACGACACACATCAAGTTATAGTCTTACATTCTTATCGCATCATGGAAATTACCTGGGGTTGAGCTCTCACAGTAGATATTATGGGTTGTGTTTGGACCAATTGCGGTCCGGGTAAGGTGTTTTGTCCTGGGAGAGGACCAGCTACTCCCGCTTGGACCTGAGTGAGATATGAGTTAATGTATATCAAGAGAAAGAGAGAGAGAGAGAGAGAGAGAGAGAAAGAGAGAGAGAGAGAGAGAGAGAGAGAGAGAGAGAGAGAGAGAGAGAGAGAGAGAGAGAGAGAGAGAGAGAGAGAGAGACATAAGAGAAATGAGTAGCAAAATAACGCGCTTACATTGACTGGCATGGGATACAAGTGATGAGGCGCTCCTGGCGTCGGTGGAGGCTGTGCCGTGTAATACTGCGGCCCAGGTGGCGGCGGTGCGGGTGGAGGTGGGTGATGCGGGTGTGGGGGATGTTGCGGATGCTGCGGATGCCCGGGGTGAGGTGGAAACGCATGGTACATCTGCATATGCGGGGGTGCGGGTGGTAGAGTGACACGATGAGGCGGCATCGGGCCACTGAATGTCGCGATAGAATGATGGGGATGTACAAAACTGAAGGGGCCTACAGCGTATGGCATGCCGACTCCTGGAAAAGAATTACAATGTAAATTACGATCGGGTAATAGTGAGACAGCTCGATGGCGTCTTCGAGTCAGCAGAGTAGACACTATCGTTTGTTTTACCTAGAGGCGCCAAAGTTGTAATTGTCGGGTGAGCGGAGTAAGGCTGAGGCGGCGGTTGCGTGCTGGTCACAACAACCGCTTGAGTCGGTCCGGGCATCATCTGGCTATTCGGCAAGTCCACGGGAGGCCCTGGCTCGACTAACAACACTCCGTTGAGATCCAGTTGCAAAGGATCATGTGGAACTTCATCCTGCTGATCGCCGCCAGGATTTCGCTGCTCAGAGAAGAACGTGAAGGCAAATGTAGGGGTAATCGTACAGACAAGGTTACACATCTCGGGTTTCTTGGATCTTAAGATTTCTTACTTCTTAGAGAGTGTAATTCGAGTCATTCGTACTCTAAAGATCCGCGAGACGTGTTACGTCTCTTACATATGATCACTAAGATGTATTTAATAAACTGGAAATGCGAATAAAAGTAATCTAAGGCATTTAAATAAGGCAAATAAATTTGACACACACACACACACACACATACAGACACCCATCGCCAAGTTTTGAACTTACCCGGAGAAACAATTCGTACCAATACTTGGCCACCTGGAAAAGCACCTCCGGGTAAACACCGCCGCCTTTCGCGGTGTTCTCCACTGTGATGCATGCTTTCTCCAGCATAGCTTCACTCTGTTCCTTACACTGCGCGAGAAGAATGAAGCATCGTGTAATGAACAATCTGCGCAATCTGATGCAACAATAAATGATATATAATAGCGTAGGCTCTCTCGGCCGCATCGTACGTACTTGAGATATAGCTCTCTGGATTTCGTTGGGATTGAGCGCGTGTGCGTGCGGCAGGCAAGACAAAGCGAGCTCCGACGCCGCTCTGACCATATTCGGGTCGCTGCCTCTCGAAGACTTGTCAGCTATACTGGCAGCCTCCGGCGGTGTCAAGTGGCCTTCCCAGCTGTCGATGAGGAACCAGATAGCCGGCGCTCCGATCTCCATCGCCTGACCGGTTATCCAGGACACGTGGCTCGAGTATGTGCGACTGAGCCAGTTCGGACTGACACAATTATGCAGACCGAGGGCGTACAAACCGAGCTGAAAAGCGCACATATGAAGCGCTCTGTGCGGACCGTGATGGTTCTGACTGGTGGATGGCTGATGGAACAACGAGGTCGAGCTGGTGCCACCAGCCTTCGCTAGGACAGTTTTGGCGAGCTCGCACATGAAGTGTGCGCTCGCTTCCGACGGCTGATTGGGAATAGACGGATATACTCTTTTACTCTTATATCTGGATACAGAAAGGAAAACAGAGACACATCAGACATACAGTTCTCGACGCCTGACACGTGTCGTATCGTGTTGCATGAGCGTTTATTCAGTCACCACATACCGCGTTTCTTTAGTTCTAATAGGCACAGATGGCTGAACAATCTGCGGTTGTACGGTCAGCGCGCTTATACCACTCTCTAGCTCGGCGCTCGTACTGCTGTGAGGTCTGCTGCTACCGCCGACGATGTTATCACCATTCCCGCCGTTGTCCATCCCGGTGAGAGGCGACGAGCGTTCCTCGTCGTGAACACATCTTGACATCTGCGAATTTAGAGTAACGTTAAAAAGCACGTGCGAGGGAGCAGCGCTCCGCGTCACGAGAAATACCTTCACGGTTCTTACCTCGCTCTTAGTAGGAGGGTTGGAGGTGTAGTAGCTACTGAGAATGGGCGATTTGATTAGTTGATGAACGTCTCGGTCCAGTAATTTGTCCATGATTCTAGCCAATTTCACGGGATCGTCTTTGTAATGAACGAGCAATGTGATAGCCAACTCCCCTCTGAGAAAGAAAGAAATTGCGTGCTCTTATTTGCATTGACGCACGTGCACACCGATGCACGCTAATGCTAACGACCGCCACAAACCAGTTACCTCTGTCTACGCGTCCCCTCGCAAAGAAGAGGATGATCCGCTTCGCTCACGTTCGCTTTCAATCCCAAGACAGCCACGGCTGCGTCGAATCCGAGATTCGGGTCGATCTCTGCCGGCAATTTCACTCCTACAAAGTATTCCATCTTAATTTCCCCGTCCTACTTGTCTTCAACAAGGACAGTTATTTCTTCCTTTATATAATTATCAATTCAACAATATAAGAAATAGAATTTAATTAAATATTGAATTTTCCATTTCTGCTTGGGATAACACAAGTATGTTACAAACAATACGAAACATTCCATCTCATTGTTTCCATCTTGCTTTGTGCAAACTTGTCAGTAAACTAATCGAATATTTATTTGTGGGAGATGGCATAGATGGGGCTATGTTACAAAGAAGACTGCGTATTTGGACGGCGCATTTAGTGTTAAGTACGTGTGGCGTGTCGGTCCTTGAAGTGAACTGGACTTAACATTACGTATAAATCTCGGGTGTAAGACAAACATAACTCGGATTCGGACGGCCACACTTAACACGAAAGTGCGCAGTCCAAATGTGGACCGAGTGTGCTGCATACTTGGCACGTCGAGCGCGTCGTATATGAAGCTGGCCAACATGATGGGCAAGAGCGCGTGTCCTCTTGATCGCATAACGCCGTCCCTCAATTGCTCCGCTCTCTGTCGTATCATGGCTAACTCCGCCGGTCCCAGGGGGATTCTCTTTAGTAATACTACTAATTCGCTTTCCTGATGAGCCAGCTTGACCTGGTCAAGTCGAAAGCGACCGTGAGTCATGAGCGAGCGACACTCACACACACACATACACACACACACACATACCACACACAACAATAAACAATGCAATTCGTATCTCGCCTAATCCTACCTCCAACGGCTTCGTGTTCGCCGGCGGCCTGGCCATCTCCAAGCCGAAGAGGCCCACGCGAAACGCCAGATTGTGATGCTCCGGATTCTCGGCCAACACCGTGCACAGGAAGCCGCATTTCGCCAGAGTTGCCGACGCGAGACACGTTAACTGGTGAGACGCCGGATTCACGTGTTGCTGTAACGCAGTCAAACGTTATACGCGATATTAATTCAGTGGCTGGCCTTCGTGAAATCGAGAAACCTTACCTTTTTCCGTTTGCTCTTCACTGGCGCTGGCGGTCCCTCGATCATGAGATCGGGCGGATTGGCCAAGAGCTCCTCGGCCAGCTGCACACCGAGGATGCAGGCTTCCCTCGTGTGACCGTGAGCGTAGAGGCCTTCCGCTCGCGAGAACAGGATGTCCCATGGATCCTCAATTTTCTTCAGATTGTCCAAGACCGTGCTGGCGTCCGGAGTGCTCGTGGCGTGGCTGGTGTTTTTCATGTATTTGCTCGGCAAGCCACCGTTGTTGGTCATGGTCTTGGGATCGTAATAATACACATGATACTCATCGCCCGAGGGACTGTCACTACTGGACGAGGAGCTCTCGTCCTTGAACGGTCGCCTGGCTTCTTTCTCTTGATCGGATTCCTGCTCGCTCTTGACCGTCGCGTCCTTATGCACGCGCGACTTGTCGCGATTCTCCGGGTGATTCATCCTGCTGCACTTGACCTCGCAGGAGGCCTTGTTATTACTACTGTCGTTACTATCACTATTCGTCTCGGACGAGGCGTTTGAGCGGGGATTGTCCGAGCCTTGAGCATCCTTCAAGCTGACGTTGCTGTTAGAAGACGACTCGCTGCCACCTCCCTCCTGAAAACATAAGAGCGACGTGGCCCGAGGATGAACGTCACGCAGGCGGCAAAGAGACACGCTGACACGTTTGCCATGAAACCCGAGCGCCATGCGAAGAAGAAAGAGAAAGAGAATAGACTCACCTGCGAATCCGTATCACCACAGTTGTTCAGCTGAGCGCACCCTTGTCTAACGAGGACGACTTGAGATTCCGTGATGTCGGGAATGTCAGTGTCGTTCTCGCAGAAGCCCTCGGAGCTGACGCTGCTACGATTCCCATCGCCGCCACCGCCAGCGTTCCTCGAGCACATCGAGAACTCGCGCGGATTCAGTCGCCGTCTGTCCAGGTAACTGAATTCGACCAGGCCAACGTTCAACGGTCGACGACTGTGATGATGTGAGATCGGCGGTTGATAATTTAACACGGCCGAGCTTGAGTTCACCTGGGGAAGAGAAGCGTTTCGTCGAGCCACGAACCACGTAACGAAGGAGGATCAACGGCCTCTTAAGAGGCCTTTCTTCGGGAGAGAAAGCGAGCGCTACCGACCTGATTCACCTCCGTTCTCGTGTCCCCGGCGTGTCGAAAGCAGGTAAACGGACAGTGATACATGGGGTTGCTACCGGCGGTGTAGGTGATGCCGGGCAAGATGTACTCGTCCCAGTCCAGGTAGCAAGCCTCGAGTGCAGGCTTGAAACCGGTGAATACAGCGACGTCATGCTTTAAGGAATCTTTCTGCATACCGCTGTTGTTCCTGTTGTGCGGATTGTGCGAGACCGAACTGCCGCGGCTCTTGGTGACCTGCGACGGACACGGATCGTTAGAAAAAGCCGGAACCCCCCGACGGGGTCGCGTGTTGCAGGTAGGTCAGGACGCTCACTTTGTCTATGATCTTCAGGTGCCAAGTCATAAATTGAGCATGCAGCATTTCACGTTCCGCTGGCGAGAGGCCGGGATTCAACGAGGCTAATCGCCATAATACAACGATCTCATCGCACAGGGATGAGCACGCGTGCTGGGAAGCGTGAACGTTGCTGTTCATATTATGCTTGCCGCCGTATCCAGTGCCGTTGAGCAGCGCGACCTTGGTGTTGAACCACCAGACGAGGATCTGCTCGCAGGCCATGCACTCCTCCGTGATGATCTCCAGAAGAGGTATAGCGTTGCGGTCATTCCGCTTGAACATCTCGCGCACAATCGAGAGAAGGTTCCACATGCCCTCCGGTTCACGGCCTCTGAGTGGCCGTAGCAACGACGCCCATTCGGCAGCCGCGGGAGGCGCGGTTGTGCTCAGGTAATTAACGTCGCTGGAAGATGGAGGAATCAAGTGACGCCGGGTCGAGGAGGTGCAGCGCATCGCACCGGTCAATGCGTGACAGCCTTGACACGTGAAATCCTACTTTTCTAGGGCGTACTATGTACACGTCGCTTACTCAACGCTGGAATGTCCGACGATTAATGACTTGCTTTTATCAAGGCGGTTGAAACTAGAGCAGGTATTTGAAAGAGTACTAGGCAATGCGGAGAAGAAATGCTTGTTTATCTTCCTTTCAGTCCCGCTCAACCCGGTCAATTCAAAGAGTAAAATGAATATAAAATATTCGAGATATAAAATGTAAGAGTTTGAGTAAGTGACTTATGAGAGAAGTGACAAGGCAAATTACAATTTTCATCTTGGCGCTCTTGGTAGTTGCGTAGAGAAGTTGAAAGTTGCAACACTTTTACCTCGTCCTGCATTTCTAATAGCGAATTTGGTGCAAGTGCGACCAAGTTCATAGTCTGTTCTTGTATTTAAAAATCGTCTTAAGTACATCTTCAAGTATCTTTTAGCCAGTAAAATTATCTGTACAGCAATTGAGTTTGCTGATAGAAAAAACTAGAAAAATCGGTATCTCCAGAGAATCACTAAGGAAACTGGAATTCTCCTGTTGGACACGGGAACTCATACGCTGAAACTCATCGAGATAAAAGAGTTGCAACCTTCGAGAATCTGAAGCATCCGACCGTGGTCCTCGTCGAAAAGCTCTAGAATACCGTAACTCTCCATGTGTCAAGGCTATTATGTCGGTTTGTATACATACTGATCGATGACTTACGGCGGTCCGTTTGGGATACTTACCTGAACACTATGGGAGCTGGAACGCAGAACTTGATGAGGATCTTCTTTATATTATCGTGCAACGTCTTCTCGTCTAAATACCAGGACGTCTGGTCGTGAGCCGAGGCTCCTGCGGTAGGGTCGGGCGCTCCGCAATAAATGTTGATGGCGCTCGGTTGCATCGACAGTAGCTCGTCTAACAGCCGCTGAGCAGTAGGTAGAATCTGCTGCGGCAACTCGCTGATGAGATATTGGGCGAACTTTTGCAGTTGCTCCCGGTGTAATCTCGACAGGGACTCGCTGACGGGAGCCCTCAGACATACTTGGGTTGGCTGAGGAAGAATCGTGTGACGGTGAGAGAGATAATTGTCTTCCGACGAGAATAAAACACAGCAGAGCAATAAGACAAATAGCAAAAAGTAATATAAAAAGTAACGCAAGTTACAAATGTAATAAAAGTATAACGATGACAGAAATATAATAAAATCATAGTAAAAATGTAACAAAACAGAGAACGTTGCTGGTTTTCTTGTAACGTAAAACAATCGGTCCGAAATAACTCATATAACTCATAACTTGATCTAAATAAATAAATAAATGAGAGCAATTTCAGGGTGAAGCGCAATTGTCTCGATTCCTTCAAAGAAATTGCATTCCTTTAATTTCTCGTTCGCGTGAGACAACTGGAAAATGTCGCTCGGTAAGATTGATCTTCGGCGCAACGTTAGTCATATTCCGCGTACCATGTGTATCCTGTGTAAGCACACGGCTACCACGTGCGCGCACCAGTAGGCCGTTGAGGAGCAGGTGCAATTGCAGGACGTGATTTTCCGCCGGTCGAAGGTCACGGCGACGTTGAACTGAGGTCGCACGCCATTCGGGACCATTTGCGGGTTCACGCTGGCGTTCAGGTGGAATCCTATTTCAGACGCGTCACGTGGATGCGATTAGTGTGCGGTCGTCGTCAGGTATTAACACATTGTTGACCTGCTGGACCCAATACCTCTGCCGCCCAATACCTTTGTCTCCAGATGTTGTTTTGACCAATGTCAAAACGTAGTCGAAGAAGCAAGCGGCAGCAGCGTTTGACCAGCCGCGAAACACGAGTTTCCTCGAGTGATCGGTCGACAATGTGTTACGGAACAACAAAGGCAATCCTCGTAATCTCAACAAAGCGGTGCGTAAATCGACTTACCGATCTGTAGGGGTTCCTTCACGCTTCTAGAACGGAATAGGTGTTCTCCGCGAAGGAACTCGTCGGCGCTACCGTTCGCCAGGCACGAATAGAGCCGTATGTCCTCTTCGTTGTCGGGGAAGCTCCAGAAGGCGATGCGCAGCTGGAGCTGTTCCGGTACCGGCGGGTAAAAGTGCTCCACCAGCTCGAAGGGGATGTGGGAGGCGACGCATCGTGCCGCGAGCTCGCACAGAGTTGGCACCGGTTGTTCGTCTGCGGAGAACAAGAAGAGATATCGATTATGACGATGTCGCGGAATCTCCGGAGAAATCGAGAGAAATCGAAAACGAGTTATTTCCGACGAATGACAAAGATTCCGAGTAAAACGAAGATTATTGCAGTTTCACTTTAAATACAAAACTTTACATTCACGTCATTCAACATATTGCTTTTCGCTCGAGATATTTATAATTTATTTGAAAAAGAGGTTGAGCAAAATACTGGAAACGGTTTGACGACATTTACACGTTTTAAGTATTTACGTTTGTAAAGCGGACGTGAAAAATACTCAAAGCGTGTCAGATATTTTACTCAACTTGAGTATAAAATAGAAATGAAGGAAAAGGTAACTTGAAGAAGAAAGAAACGTTCGCTAGAGAAAATGGGATCTATCTTTCGCATTTTGGAAATCAATCAGAACCCATCTCCATCTAATTATGGATTCTAATTAGATCCCAGAAAATTTTCTATGCGGAAATCTGCACAGAATTCGTCAAATCGAACTAGATCTCCGTTAGACAATTTTCTACACGATTCGCAGATTATATAATTCATCGAGATTCTATATCATCAGATATAGAATATATTCATCAGATTATATAATTCGAGAGATTCTGTCTCTCTCTCTCTCTCTCTCTCTCTCTCTCTCTCTCTCTCTCTCTCTCTCTCTTTCTCTCTCTCTCTCCCTCTCTCGTTTCTCGCTCCACGGCTGCGAGGCGCCCGCGCTCGCTTATCGCGCAGCTGAAAAATAATCGCGCGGCACTTCGGCCTTCCCGATATTATACGACTCGTGCAGAAAAATAGTTTGTCGCGAGTTAGCCGCGACAGCGATATTTTCTTGCGACCAGTCGAGTCGCGGGACATACTAGGTCAGGCACGTAACTACCCCTTGGTCCCTCACCCCCAGCCCGCGATAACAACCGAGGGTATTTTGTGTACGAGTTCCCTCTCTCTCTCTCTCTCTCTCTCTCTCTCTCTCTCTCTCTCTCTCTCTCCCTTGCAGGTTCGCGAGCTAGCGTGTCCACCACGGTCGGCCGATTTTCCCGAAAGATAAACCTGACGGCGAAACGCTCGGGGAAAAAGAAGAATGGAAGAGACCCGGAATTACCGTCGATTTTCGTGAAATCGCTCGGAAGCGTCGCTTCGGAACCTGCATACACCCCCCTACCACCGCCAACCCGCCGCACGAAACTCGACGCTTCGGTACAGCTGATCTTTTTGAAAAAAATGTACTAGGTCGGCGCAAAAGGTTTGTCGTAAACTGAAAAACTGAAGTATTCAGTTTCGAAGGATTACAATTTTATGCGAGCAACATCGGCTCGACATTTCTTCAGACATCCTGCGAAGACCTCCTATTTACCTTTTTCGATCGTTCCACGAGAATTTAATAGAAAACTGACACAGGTCTTTTTATCTTATCGCTGTAATATTTTTCTTTCAGATTCGATACGAGAGAGAAAGATGGAACTTCGAACGCACGACGATTCAGCAATCGTCATGCGATTATTCCCGCGATATTCGCAATTCACGCTTCAATCCGGACACTCATTTCCCCGTCTCTCTCGCAAGAGGGCGCGTTTCCGTGGTCAACAACGCGCGCATGGCTTTAACGAGGGACAATAACGAAAACGACTCATTAACAACTTCAAACAACAGTGTGGACGGATTACGGATGCTAATACATTTATGCTCGCGCTGTGTGTGCCGCGTCAAATACGAGATGCCGCTAGTCTCTAAATGGCTTCAATCGAAACACCGCGCGTGCAATTATAATAGACTCCGGTTGCGTCAATTCGTGGCGCATGCGCACGTGACGCCGCGACATCGGCAAACAACGCGAGAAAAAACATTTCTCCGCTCGCGTGACACGAGTGACAGCGTCGCGGACTCCCCCGTCGAGCCGGAGTCAAAAATACATTAGAAATGTACCGCGAAGTAATAATAGCTGCGCTCACAGAAAACACGGCTGAACTTTCGAAAGCCATTCGCGTCCTGTTGCCATGCATTTCGGTGAAAATATTTCAAACAAGCACTCTTAAATGGATTTTCATAGCGACACAGATCGTTCGATGCCGAACGAGTTCAGATAACATTATACTTCGCTGATAAATTATAATAATTTCCTAGACAAGTCTCAAAACAAGCTGCGATCACCTGCTTCTTTACTCACTTGTCTTGGTCACCTAATTTTTCTGTAATGTCCTTTTTTGTAATGTATTTTTTTCCAAAATCGGAAAGTCGATGACGCCCAAACGTCATGTTGTCTAAACGCGGCCAAACGTGCATCCGCAGTCCTCGTGGATAACGACGCTTTCTCCACTTGACGAGGGATAAGTTCAAAGGGCGTTTATCTTGCTTCTATTTTATCACGTAAAAGGAAAGTGTCAGGTCAGTGTCGGAGATAAAAAGCTAAAAGTCGGGGATTCGATGGAACAAGTTATTTGGGATTTGACTTGCGTTATCTCGGTATTTGCGTGAATGTTCTTCTAGTCCGAACAAGACAGGCATCTTTCGGGCTTGCTTCGTCGGGTCAACATACGAATGGGTGACGAATCGTTAGCCAGAGGTGTATGCCCCAAAATTCTTCAGACGTGCACCACCTGGAGCATTTCGATCACATGCGACGTCGTCCATGTTGAGTTTCATTGTACGACATGTGACAGATTCGATTCTTTTAATAGAATTTGTATTTTGTTTATTAACAAATACCCGGGATCTGTTGGCGTAATTCAACGACCGCTTGCCTCCCAGTTTCGAAATCCAACGAACGCTTTCAGGTATAGCCTGATACGTGCTCTCTCGGCTTGAAGCATCTAAATGCGACCATCGTTGCGTCAACTTTAGGGGATACCTCTGCAGAGAGCTTATTTTTCCGTTCTCTCATCGTGTATGTCTCAAAGACAAAGGCTCTTATATACGTAGACTGCGCCTTCTTCAGGAGGCTTGGAGACAAGACATGAAAGATAACTGTATTCCCCTCCCACTGTCCACACAGGTGCATCATCTTCGTCTGGCTTTCTTCTTTAGAAGTGAAGCTAGACAAAGATCCGTACTTTCCAAAAGGTGCCAAAATCCCGTAAAAAAAATAAATAAATAATAAATGACGTAGTGTGAATCTCCTTTTGCGCCACTCCTCGGATTACTCCGCGAAATGATCCCAGCCGTTGGAGCAACCAATGAGAACCAATGAGCGAATTCGTCTCGCGGTGTCGGTACGAGAGGGAGTCTCATGCGAAAGTCCACACACTTAATTAAGTTTCGAAGCGCCAGGAATAACTCGGATAATATCACGAGCGAGACACGAGAACGCGCGCGCGCGTTCATAAGAGGGAGGGGTTCTTTCGTCAGAGATAATTACGATCGATGATATCAATCATCGTTAGCGGGACCGTCCGCGTCCGCGCGCGAGGTAGTCGAGCGGCGAAAAATTTCACGCGTCTCTTGTACGCGGAGCTCCGTCACAAAGAGCGGTGCGCTAACAATAAGAGCGGCCGGAAAAGGGAACAATCAAGCGCCATCGGCGGGAAATGAGGTGGCGAGCCGGCGAACCCGCGGATTCTAATCCGCGACACGTCGTGGCAACAATCGTCGAGACTCGAAGAAAATTCCCCCCTGCCGGTCCTTTTCGTCCCCCCACCCTCTGCCTGGACATCAACGAAAATAATTAAAATCTTTCTCCAGAGCAGCCCTGTCGGCAAGATTCCTCATTATTCGGCCTGTTTATCGCGGACTAATTTCAAAGGCTGATCTTTATGGTCGGAGCTAACATCGTCCGAAGATTACCTTCAAATACTGCGCGGATCGTTTCGCTGGCTAGCCGACTATTAAATATAAAATCCGGCTGTGAATATCCGGTTTGATTGTACTCGCAGGATTTTTAATTCTGTTTTCCCTTTGTTCTATAATTTCCTGCTCCTAATCCCGGGACAAACAACGACAAACGCATTTATCTATCTATCTATAGGTCTCTCTCTCTCTCTCTCTCTCTCTCTCTCTCTCTCTCCCTCGATGTGGTACGATTACATTAGCGATACACTGCAAGTATATATCATTCTTCCAGAGCGGCCGTGTGCAACAGTTTCCGCGGAATATTACTCGGCGCTTTATCGATCTCGTCGGCCGGCGGGGGCGCGAGAGTTTGAGTTTCCAACGCGGGCGGTAGGTAGCACATCGGCTATTTTCCCGGAAAGTAAGACCGCCGAGGATCGATAGCGAAAAATGCGTTTCGCGCGCTGCGGGCGTACGTACGTGCATAAAAACACGCAGGCACACACGTACACACGCAGGAGGACACGCGCACACGTGGACACACGTACGCGCGCATACACGGAGAAGCACACGCTCTGCATATTCATGATTAACCTTACACGGAATACAATGCAGCGCACCGAGAAAACACCTCTCGCCGTTCCGAAAATAGCCGGTCGGGTTAATGAATGGGCGCTCGTTCGCGAGAACGCACAACGGCAACGCGTAAATGCGCTTTATCTCGCGTGTGTGCGTGTGCGTGTGCGTGTGTCCGCGACATTCGACGCGACGCGGAAGCTCGCGGGCGACTCGCCTCGCGTCGCGCAGCTGAAGGGAGAATTACTGTTAAATGAATAAAAAGCGCATTTTTTCCTCTCGTCTTCCAACTCCGCAGCCGGGGTTTTCCTCGGCGAGCGCGCGCGCGCGCGGGGCCGTGACGAGCTTCGCGGTCGCGGTTTTGCCGCGCAATGTAATTTCCTCCGGTTCCGACGAAAACTGCGGCGGCGGCGGCGGCGGCGGCGGCGGGAAATTCTCTCGGATGGTCGCACGCCGGCTTGTCCAATCTAGGCATCGAGCGTCGACAATTTGCAAAAATTTCCATTGCTCCGCGAACGTGTTGCTTTTTTTGCTCGATCGAACGGAGAGGCAGCGAGAGAGAAAGAGAGAGAGAGAGAGAGAGAGAGAGAGAAGGAGGACAAAGGCAGGCGTCTATCGAGTGCCTCGATTTAGTCACCATTGTCGGTGAT